CACGTCGACTTTTCGTAAGTCGATTTTCTTTCGTAGTAAGTATAATTTGGTATTCACGTCAACACTTTTTAAGTTTTTATCGACGGAGTTTACGTGAATAAAAAATATACGTAAGAAGTAGGTCAAACTTAAGAACATTCTTCTGAAAATGATCGACGTGAATACGGCCCCTGGAACAGTAACGAAAACGAATATCATAGACACGAAAAATTCACACCTAACTCATTTCCTCACAATTCATTGATCACAGCTCTCACATGGAAACAATTAACCTCTCGGCAAAGTCTGCATTCTTTCTCACGCTGCCTATAGCCCATCGCCTCCCATCTCGTACAACACTGATCACAGCGGCACAGTACACGCCGCTACAGCAGATCACCCAGTAGTCGCGGTGTACTCCCGCAGTCGCCGCCCGAGTCGTGACTCAGTCGAGTCGTGACTCAGTCGACTCGGCCGGCGGACTCGGAGTCAACAGGCGTGCACAGGAAGTCTGCTCGGTTCCCGCTCCATCGGGCACTGGGACACGGTTTGAGCAGATGCGCCGGTCGTTGAACGGACAAAAAGGGTGGCGGGCGTTTCAGCAGGGAGGCGAGAACAAGGCCTCGTTATACGGACCATCACGGAAAAATGTTTTAAACAATTATTGAGCGTGAATGGTTCTCATCCAAAGTTAATTTTTAAAGCAAAAGTTGTGTTTATATCGCAATCGCTCGGTGGTCATCATCCACAGAGAGCTCACAGTCGATACTCATTGCTCCCTCAATCTTGAGTGCCCTGCTATCCTATATGTGTTCGGCGTTTTCTGAAAGTTTCCGGTCTGTTATACTCAGTGCTTCTGAGGCGTCATGGTGTTCTAAGTGTTTCGTTGTGTTCCAGTGTGGTCGACTTGAGGTACAGTGGTTACAGTGGTTGGTTTGGTTTACTGCACCATGGTGCAGTAGCTGGCAGACTACTGTCCGTCCCGGTCCCGCTTAACTGAACTCTCTGAACTAACTGAATACTCTTTGTGTATTCCAGTGTGGTAGGCTGGAGGTGGTCCAGTGGTTGGCAGACCGGTGTCCGTCCCGGTCCCGCCTTCTACCCGGTGAGGGAGACGATTCTCTGCTGCACGCCGCCGCCCGGCACGGACAGGTCAGTCAGTCAGTCAGTCAGTCAGTCAGTCAGTCAGTCAGTCAGTCAGTCAGTCTCAGTCAGTCAGTCAGTCAGTCACAGTCAGTCAGTCAGTCAGTCAGTCAGTCAGTCAGTCATCAGTCAGTCAGTCAGTCAGTCAGTCAGTCAGTCAGTCAAGTCAGTCAGTCAGTCAGTCAGTCAGTCAGTCAGTCATCAGTCAGTCAGTCAGTCAGTCAGTCAGTCAGTCAGTCAGTCAGTCAGTCAGTCAGTCAGTCAGTCAGTCAGTCAGTCAGTCAGTCAGTCAGTCAGTCTCAGTCAGTCAGTCAGTCAGTCAGTCAGTCATCAGTCAGTCTCAGTCAGTCAGTCAGAGCCATGAGATCAGTCCGACTTTCATCGATGTCACGGTTGTAACATATTCATATTTCTTTCTCGGTGTCTTTTTTTGTCCCCTACCTTTCTTTCGGATATGAATTGTTATCTTTTATGTTTCAATAATTGTATTTCACTGATTGTTATTTATGTATAGGCGATGAAGCATGCTATTCTTTTGATGTTACTATTTAAGTGCTCAAAACCCTCCCGGGTATAAAGCTCCATCGCCACCACTACCAGGACAGTTCAGTATTCCGTGTCGTGAGACTCTCCTCTCCCCAGCACCATAATAACTGTCATGGAGCGGTTGAGGGGAGACAAAGCACGTGGTGTCACCCACTAGTCCAGTAGGTTGTTATGAGTCACGTGGGAGGAACAACACACCACTGGACGTTTTGGTGACGGATAGCCAATCACATTCGTGTTCGACAGCCAATTATAGTGACAGAACTGTCACATGAGACGATACAGATATTGTAGAATGCTAATGAACACTGGCCATTATTCCGCTAAATAAGGCTAAATAGGGCATTGTTATTCATGGACAATGTGAAGTAGTTCGTGTCTTGAATAAGATGTCTGCGCTGAGCGTTCCCGATATTCCAAACGCATTACGCATTCCAAGTAGCGAGCGTATCATACCGAAGGTCAAATCAATTCAATTTCAGTAATAATATCGCTCAAATTATACTGCTCGCACAGTTAATACATCAGTTGCATTAGCGGCGGGCTGCTGTTAGCTCCATCAATAACCTGGCGGTGGCCTGACCGCAGTGGCCGCTCAGCTCGGTCCCACGGCCGGCGTTGGCCAATCGAAGCTGACCCGGCACCGGTGACCCGGGGTCACTCCGTGCTCTCCCGGTGCCGTATCGGCCGGCGCCGCGGCAAATCATGCCGCGCCGCGCCGTAAACGTCCCGAGATGGCCGTCGTGCCGGCCATTAGTGCGGTTCCAGCCACGATGTGATAACCTATGGACGGACGCAGCACCGTTAAATCACGCCCGACCGCCTTTCGTTCGGAGATAATTTGTTTGCCCAGCACCCGCTCGGCGCCGCGCTGAATTGCGAGACATTTTTTCATGGAAAGCTTTGGTGCCAACCGCCTCGTCTCGCCGTTTCACAACCTGTAAAATACTTTATTTTTGTCATCTATTATGCGCTCTGTCCTTTCTAATTATTATCCATCACATTTATGATTTTCGCTTTCATCGTTATCTTGACGTCGCTATTTCTCATTTCGGTTAGATGCATTCCATTTATTATACGTCTGATTCATGGTGTCATCATACCAGACGTTTTGTCCATGTATCAAGACATCTCAATTCTAGATCTGACTCGCCCTGCACCCTATGGGCAGTGATTCATCCTCGCTATCCACCAGCGGGGGACGTTCCCCACCCATCCCCATAGCGCTTATATTTCAACACAGCTTTCTCCAAGATTGAAGGAGCTTCAAGACTCGAGAGCTCGGAGACGAGAGTTGTGAGCTGGGAGACGTGAGACGCGAGACACGGGGCAATCGCCATGTGACCCGAGTTAGAGATGCATATCTCCCCGCCCCAGGTCGACTCCAGTGGCGACTCGCAGACGCAAACAGCTTGTTAGGGCTGTACGGCCGCGACGGAGGAGGAATGCATTTGAATCGATGATGAGAGAGAAAATCAGAACGGGAAACACGCGCGATAAACAGCGAGGGAGAAACCCGAAAAGGTGATAATGGCTCCGGGATGAAATGCTGCGCGTTTTCAGGCATGGCGTTTGAATCCAACTCTGACAAGTTTGCGTCTGATTAGCTATCACTCATGAATGTATGTATCGTGTGAAGATTTCTTCGTAGTACATCAAATTGAATATTAAATCTCCAGTACCGTTGGCCGCATCTTTGATCCTTTGAGATCAGCGCACGATATGGTGCAAATGTTACTGACCTCTTATCCGATCATATGTGGCATCACGTGATGCACCGTATCACGGAGTCGCGCTGTTGGGTGCAGAGGCCAGCTTTAACCCTGTTCCAAGATACCGTTACCAATACCGCTTGTAATCCCGTAGTTCTGTTATCTCATTTTATTTAGCACCCAGCGCTGGAACCGAAAGGCTGCATAACAATCTAGCAAAGCATCCATTCTTCCGAAAGAAGTTGATATGAAATTACAGATAGGAACGCCTTTAAGATTTGTAGCTGATTCTATGAAAATTCCGAGCTTTTTGTCGCATTTTCTTCTATGCAAAGGCTGAGAATTGCTACAGTCAGTCAAAAGAAGTAAAAAAGAAGCATCAGACATCACCATCCACGCTTGAGGCATGGCAGCAGCATGACTTCAATTTGAAAGTCTCCGCTCAATGCTAGCCAACTAGCCATATAAATACCAAGCAGTTATGTGGTAAGGTTGCGTGGTCGGTATCTCGTGTTTCGTAACGTGATGATTTCGTCTGTCGGAAACACGTCTGGAAACGACAGAGATAGCAGCTCTCGGCATGGGGCAAATTGGATCGCCAGTGAAATTTAACGGGTATTAAAGGTAGCCGCAGAGACGGGAGACCTGCCTTCTGCTGACAAATTATGTTGTGAGAGCGGGTTAAAGGTATTCCGTAACACATTTACATATATAAAAATCAAAACGTCTGTACGTATGTATGTATGTTGTAACGCGTCAGTCACGCTTGGCGGGCTATTGCTCCGGAACGGTGCGGGCTACGGGGGTGAAATTTTGGACATAAGTCAGACGCGTGCATCTGTTTGTCGTATTAAATTTTGGTGGGGGTGGGTTCGGTGGTTTGCACGTGGCGGGCGCATCTTTGCGGGATTTTGGGCCGCGGCCGGCGCCGATCAGAGAGCACGCGCATTAGCCTCAGTTTCTTCGCTTGCCAAACTGAGCGAAATCAGAGCCGGAAGGTCACTGACCTTTGGCAATGAATACCGGAACAGAGCACCGCCGGCCAGGAGGAGACGCCAAATTTATTCTGGCAATAACTCGGCCGTTACTGGGCCGATTTTAATGAAAATTGATTTATTACGCTGCGCGTAATGCTGTCCCTCTAGTTCACTTATATAAAATCAAAACGTCCGTATGTATGTATGTATGTATGTGACGCGTCAGTCACGCTTGGCGGGCTATTGCTCCGGAACGGTGCGGGCTACGGGGGTGGAATTTTGGGTGCAAGTCGGACGCGTGCATCTGTTTGTCGTATTAAATTTTGGTGGGGGTGGGTTCGGTGGTTTGCACGTGGCGGGCGCATCTTTGCGGGATTTTGGGCCGCGGCCGGCGCCGAGCAGAGAGCACGCGCCTTAGGCTCAGTTTCTTCGCTGCAAAACTGAGGGAAATCAGAGCCGGAAGGTCACTGACCTTTGGCAATGAATACCGGAACAGAGCACCGCCGGCCAGGAGGAGACGCCAAATTTGTTCTGGCCATAACTCGGCCGCTACTGGGCCGATTTCAATGAAACTTGGTTTAGTGGACTTGAAACTTGGGTTCTTACGCTGCGCGTAATGCCGTCCCTCTTTACGCTGCGCGTAATGCTGTCCCTCTAGTTTACATATATAAAAATCAAAATGTCTGTACGTATGTATGTATGTAACGCGTCAGTCACGCTTGGCGGGCTATTGCCCGGGAACGGTGCGGGCTACGGGGGTGGAATTTTGGGCGCAAGTCGGACGCGTGCATCTGTTTGTCGTATTAAATTTTGGTGGGGGTGCGCTCGCCGGTTTGCACGTGGCGGGCGCATCTCTGCGGGATTTTGGGCCGCGGCCGGTGCCGATCAGAGAGCACGCGCCTTAGGCTCAGATTCTTCGCTGCAAAACTGAGTGAAATCAGAGCCGGAAGGTCACTGACCTTTGGCAATGAATATCGGAACAGAGCACCGCCGGCCAGGAGGAGACGCCAAATTTATTCTGGCCATAACTCGGCCGCTACTGGGCCGATTTTATTGAAACTTGATTTATTACGCTGCGCGTAATGCTGTCCCTCTAGTGCTTGTTAATTTCCATATTTACACAACACTGAATAAGCTCATCTTAATAACACCTTATCAGCTAAATTAGTGCGCTATTAAAGCTGTTATAGTTTGTTAGGTCAACTGCAGTACACGGTAGAATACCACGCTGTTCCAACTACAATAGGGCGACACCGGAGGCTCCTACGCTGGAAAAGACAACACCAGGGACTGCAATTTCTCACAAGTAACAGGCCATCAAAAAGCGGAAAGACTATGCAGTTGGATATACAGGGTGATCCAAAAAATTTGGAACCCCTAGCAAATGTTTATAAGTCCGAAAGTATTATTGCGAACACCATTAGAAAGAGCATTAAATCCTCTATAAAATCACGTCAAATTGGTGCATGTATGTTGTAAAGCATTGGCACATTATTAGCTTTTGGAATGAGCGTCAGAAAACTGAATGAAACGAAATCGCCAAATGTCAACAATGCGCTGAAATCCGTTAGCACTCTATCTATTGTCTTTTTGCGAATAATACCACATCCAAATTCAATTTTATTACCTGAAAATTTACACAGAAGCACACAGTAGAACAGATACCTACACGCGTCCTAGCTTCCGCTGTTCATCCCAGCATGTGCCTAACGCGAGCTCCGTGGTAGTCAAGCAGGCCTGCAGTTGCTTGGGGACAGCTCCGACTGCGCGGACCAGCAGTCTCTGGGACAACTGGTCCCATCAGATTCAGGCCGCCAGCCTTTCCTTTCCTTACAATGGCACGTGAATGAGCTATTTTTATTCATGAACCTCCAACAAGCGACATGAGAACAGCAAACCGTCAATCACTGATTTGCGCATAATGTTTAAAACCGTTTCACTGAGTTTCGTGACACAAATTTTATAGGCAAATGCCTATGGCCATATTTATATAATAATTAGGTTCAATCAACTTGGTTTTATAGAGAATTGAACGCTCTTTCTAATGGCGTTCGTAATTTGTCAATAAATCGAAAGTTTTCTGACTTACAGACAATTTAAGTTAGGGGTTCCAATTTTTTTGGATCACCCTGTGCATAATCCTGGCGAGTAGGCAGACGTCAAAAATTACCATTATAAACAAAGCTATCAAGTACAAGTGCTTTGTTTTACTTCTCATGGACCACCAGCTGCAGCAGCGCCGCACCGATATATTTACATTGGGGGTATCGGTCGCAAAATTGCGACCGATACCCCCTAACCCGACGACGACGAAGTTTTGCTAATTCAATTCGAAAGCTCCGACCCGAACGATTTCTTGTGGAGTTAACCCGCGAGTTGCTGGGGGGGAGGGGGGGCGTTAAACGCCCCCACTTTTTTCGCCGGGCCATATCATAAAAACGGCGCGCCGCAGGCGCGCCAAATTTTAAGTACCTGTAGGGAATTGATTGAAGTTTATTGTGACAAAGTTTCAAAAAAATCGGTCGGAAAATTTTTTGAGATATCGAGGTTTTAGTGACGTCATGATTTCTGAGTTTTCGACCAAAAACGGCATATGTTCAAAAAATCATATAAAATCACAGAATATACATACAGACATACCGTAAACGCCATTAGACTGCCAATACCATGAACAATCAAATGGCTATCTTCGATTATTGATTATCGTTCTGCATTTTCCAAATTCTTGAACTGAAACTTGGCAATTTCTCGTGACTACTTGACGACCATGATACATGCATTTCTTAAATTGAACTTTTTGAGCCAAACACGTACACTATGATAAAATGAATGTCACCATCGTGTTCTACGCCCCAAATTACCCATAAAACATGTGTCACGGGCTGCGAATATCAGTTTTGATTTTCGGGGATTTGTGCCTACCCGGTTGACCTGACCTTGACCCTGACCTGACCTATGCTTGACTGACCCCTACATGGAGCTGACACTCTTGTAGGCCTTATATGATGGATTGTGCACCGTTTTGACAGAGTTTATGACGAGAGGCGCCCATTGCGAAGTCCTGAAGTTCATGCTACTGAAAGCCCGATTTCAGGTGTTTGACCTGACCTTGACCCGACCTGTGACCTCAAAATTCAGCTTTAAAGTACTCATCTCGTCGCGTTCTTTCGTTTGCCGCCTCGTGCGTTTCGCTGCGCCTATTGGTTCTCGAGTTATCGGCTGGGGCGTTTAACGCCCCCCCCCCCCCCAGCAAACGGTGGGTGGCGAAATACCCCAGCAACTGCCGGGTTAAATCCTCATTCTTTTAGGTATTACATTAATAAACTCCACATCAGGTCCTTAAGATCATTTCACGTAGGTAGCAATAATTTGCCATACAAAGTCGGGCAACACGTTACATGACCTTTATTATTGTATTAACTTCCTGACACAAACTTAAGTCAAAAATATCATGATTTGCCTATAACTTACAGCCCAGCTATTTCATTCAGGAATTGCTCATTGGTTGGAATCGCCGACAGCACACCCTCCACGTCACCCTGCCATTGACGACGATGTCGTCCCACGCAGCGGCCTTTAGCGGATATCTCCACACCATCTCTACTGTCCAACAGGACACGGGGCTATTTTTGAGCGATTTGCACATAAAGACTGGATAACTATAGGTTCACAGAGGCAGGCACGCCACGTATGTGCACTAAACTGGGCGAGCCGGTCTGTGCAGCAGACGTCATCGAGACGGCTGACGAGACTCAGATGTTGACGAATATGCTGGTTTGGCTGCCACGATCAAATATCACTTCAAACAGAGTGATTTAAACATGGAATGTTAACATAAAACATATGGAAGATATGTTACTTTGACACTTTGATGCCCATGGCCCAGCATCGCATTGTTAAACTATATCAACATCGGCTGGGCACGAAGCGATGTCTTATGCATTTAAGTCATTTTAGTGAGCTGATGTGCCATGAACTAATCCGGATCATCAGCTGTGGGATTACAGTCGTTCCAGTGTTGTTATCCAAGGTTGAGGTGTTTCAAGGCCACAGTACCGTCCGATCGGCGATTGATAGGAAGCGGTAGATGGGAATAACGTCAAAATCGATATAAGGGCTTTTTCTAAAGATGACCGGCATCTTTTTAGGGACAGGACTACCTGTCATTCCCTGTCGAGCGGATCCATTAGCAGATCGAACTGATCTCGCTCCATATCTACTCAGTTATAAAAGATGACTGAGCGGTAAATGCTTTGGTAATTTTGCGAACTCGGTATTTTATGTACCTACTTTTCGAAGAAAGCGTTTTATCATGTGTGATTTATGTCTTTCACTTTCATTGTGGATTTGGACCATTCGTGCAACGCCAGACTCTGCATGACGATACTTTTCATGCACGCCTATTTGTGAGTTGGCCAATTTAAGTTTCATGCTTCATGATTTACTGAGGGGGAATATTTGTTTCTGGTCCCTAAAAAGCTGTTTCTGGCACCTAATTGCTGATCAGCCCCAAAATGCTTATTCGACCCTAATATCTGAATCTGGCACCTAATTGCTTCCACACAGCCTAAAGTTGCCAGATCGTCTAGTTGAACTCCGTATTTGCTGTTTGCTGATTCAGCACCAAAACCAAAACATCCAGCACCTATTTTATTCCACGTTTGCCTACCTAATTCGCGTAATCTTCCTGATTTTATGTATCCTAACAACATGAACGTTGCATTCGGTGATGTGAAGTGCCATTTTCGCCAGTGGAGATAATGATTAATGCCATTTCTAGCCAAAAGAGAATCACTAGCCAGCTATGGTGCAGCGTAGCAAGACGCTCCTATAGGCTATACCATCCCGCTATGTAGAGACTATGAGATTATTGCACCCTCAGCCATTTTAACGTGAAAAGTTTGGATCCGTCGCTTCCAGCCAGGCTCTCAGGTCATAAACTGGAGTAAAGCAAAATGTCAACTCTGAACAGACATGCCACGCAACCGGCCCTCTTTTCAATATTATTAGCTTTCTGCAATCATCGTCTGACTCCATCTCGATCAAAGGCAGCATCCGGTTTCTACAGGGGCGTTTGACTCACCGGCCACACAATAACCAAAAACAAAATCAAAGCTTCATGCACACATATGCCATACGTAAGAAACGGATGAAAAAGGCACAACCACGGCACAACTCTGCGCGGCAAACAACGGACAATGTCCCACGCAAGATCCCGCGTTTCTTCAGCGGCCTTGAACGGAATGAAAACATTACATTTCTTTTTTGGAGCTATTTGATGACGTCAAAAAATACAATACCCGTTTTAATGGTCAAAATCGAGACAATTACTCACAAAAATGTTTCCCTTTAAGCATTACAAATAAATACTTTTAAATATTTAAATGACATTGTTTTTTTCAAAAAAATTAATATTTTGCTTACTTAAACGTCATATACAATGCTGAGATCACTACGGGGCTGTCTTAGAGTGTAGCTGCACTGGCAACCTTTAGGCTAGACTCCAGGGGTCATTATACCAGAACAACATGATTCTACCAGCCAGTAGTTCATTTTTCTACTAGATTGGTGCTACGCTCAGCATTTAGGTGCCAGATTCAGAAAAAAGAGTAAGGCGTACCGATGGATAGGTGCCAGAAACAGCTAATTAAGGTCATTTTCCATGATTGGTGCTGGTATCCACCAAATAGAAGCTGAGGACCAATTTTGGGGCGAGTCAGCTTTTAGGTGCCAGAAATAGCTTTTCTGGGACGCAATTAAATGGCGTCCTTTACTGAGGCACTTGCCGAATCAAATGGCGAAATACAAGCAAATCCAACCACGTAAGAAATGCTCAGAATGTTTCATGAAACAAACCAGAACATGGAAAATGTAAAATGCAAATCGTACCGTGCACTGTTCGCTGCGCCCTTCATTCCCTCCCCTTTATGACGTCACTGATATCTCTCTGCTGCCAGGTGGAGATCGCCAGCTGGTGTGCGGACCGGTTGCTGCAACACAGGGCCCACCTGGAAGGCGTAGACCGACGTCGTGACACTGCCCTCCACCTGGCGGCCGGAGCGGGAAACACACTGGTCTGCAGGGCACTGCTCGACAGGGGGGCCGCCGTCACCGCCCGGGTAGGTGCGGGGGGGGGGGGGGGTAAGGAGGAAGTGCTCGGAAGAAAGGCGACGGATAAGTCTGAGTTTTACATGAGAATGCTGCTCTAGGCGAAGTCGATAGGGCTAGGATGGAAACATCGATATGGCCAAGTGACTATTGCCTAGTCGTCTTTAGAGATCAGGTGCACCCTAATGCATTTTATGCTAATAATGCTAAATCATGCACATAAATGCCTTTGGCGAAGCTGAAGAAACACTCTGCCCTAAGATTCCTTGCTGTTTTTGAACTTTATGCTACGGTCACTTATTCACGAAGTGATCCTTCGCAGGTGTGCCCCTCCCCTCCCTCCCTTTTCTCCCAGCACCGGCAACTCACCGTTCCCAACATCGGTGAACGGTGAGACATGCCTCAGCTGTCGAAGAGGGAAACAGGCGAAATGCCACCGTTATCTGTACTGTACACTTTTGCCGTTCGAGCACTAATTCCCTGACCTTGGATTGACACAAGTTCTGCAACTGCAACAAAGACAGTGCCGCATAACTGCATTAGAACAACAAAGGCACTAGACGGTACTGTAAAAGTGCATTAGGTATGACTGCATATCGCCCAGGCTGGCCTCCACAATTCGCCATTGCAGCAACGATGAAAATCACACATCTACTGACACATGGGCGACGTGACTTTACCAACAGTATCTACCGAAAACCGTGAATAGGTAGGTATGTTTGCTCTTACCCATTGCGTAATGCGTAGAGCTGAAGATCAGTTAGATCACTGTCCCTCTACTCTTTCTTCAGAACGCCTGCGGTCTGAAGCCGTACGACGTGGCGGCTCAGACGGGTCACCACGCATGCGCCGAGTACCTGCTGACCTTTGAGACCCTGGCCGACCTGGCCGGTGACTTCTGCAGTCTCGAGGTCGAGGCAGCGCGACTCAGTCGAGACAACGCCGACTACAAGGACAACTTCCGGTCAGTGCAGTGCCGGAAATCGGCTTCTCCCGACAGAGGAAATCGGAGTTCAGGGGAGCTTTGGGAGTAATCGATGTCGATTAGAGTTGCAACAGTGAGATAAATCGACTGAGGAAAAGATCAATGCATTTAGCATTCCACTCGAACGCACCAAAGGAAATATGATTATCAGCTACATATCGCTTATCAGTATCCCACGACAAATAATTGAATTGCTTCATGAATGTAACTGAATTGCCTCTGGAAACCTTTGCTAAGCTAAAAACACCTTTATTTTTTCCATGACCGTGCTTCTCCCCCCAAAAGGCTCATAACGTTAGAAATGCTCCATTTTTGCCCGGCCTTAATGACGACCGAGTCCGCTGACCGCTTTTCTCCGCCGCCTGCAACGTTCCTGAGCGCTTGCCTCAGTATTACCAGTATGACTCTGCAGCCCTATGTAAGATAAACGTTTCTAATCGAATCCGTGTGCCGTCTTCACGTCGAACTATTTGTGACTTCTCCCGCACGTTTGTCTGTGTCACTCATTATATATCCGAGGCCGGAGGCGCTGTTTTATAATATTCACCCCCACCCTCGGTGTGTCGCAGGGAGGTGCTGTCTGTGGCCCGCCGGCTGCTGAGGGAGCGCGCTGAAATGCACGCCGCGCTGCGCCAGCTGCGGGACGACTGGCAGCTGCTGCAGGAGCGGCTGCTGCGGCAGCTGCAGCTGGCGGCTGCCGAGCGACACCAGCTGCGCAGGCAGCTGCAGGAGGCCGACCCGGCAGCTGAGCCCGACGAGCCGCAGCTGGGGGAGACGGACCCCGCCCAGCTGGCCGAGCAGTTGTCAGCGTTGCTAGATAGGTGGCAGCAGTGCAGCGTCCCGGTCGCCGAGACCGCGCTGTGCGAAAGCCAGAGTCGACTTCAAGTGGCGGAGACGGCCTGGCACCGGCTCAGGGCGTCCAGAAAGGAGCCCGCCCAGCCGCTGACGGAGGCTCAGGAGATCGTCAGGTGGGTGGGACGTGGCAGGGAGGGACTGCTGTACTGAGGTCAAAGACTGGTGGACTGAAGTCAGGGACTGGTGGACTGAGGTCAGGGACTGAGGTCAGGGACTCACTTATCCGTGCTTCTATCCTCAGGATACTGAAATCCTTCTCCTCCACGCCGCAACCCCCCTCCGGGCTGGACAGGCAACTTTATCTCATGCGGGCTGCTCCCTTGGAGCGGCACCGCTGCTCCTGAGGGAGCGCACCTCGTAGCCGGGTGCAGTGAGTGCCTTGGGGCTGGGTGGCCTGTCCTCTGGACGGGCTCAGCCCCGGCGACTCACTAGGGTGCCTGCCCAGACCAATGTCTCCCCCTAATTCCTATCATCCTTCCGGCTCTGCAATGCTCTTGTCGACCGAAAGGGCCTAACCCAACAAAACAACAAAACAAAGGTCAGGGACTGGTGGACTGAGGTCAGAGACTGGTGGACTGAGGTCAGGGACTGGTGTGCTGAAGTCAGGTATTGAGGTCAGGGACTGGCGTATTGAGGTCAGGGACTGGCGTAATGAGGTCAGGGACTGGCGTAATGAGGTCAGGGACTGATGTACTTTGGTCAGGGACTGATGTACTTTGGTCAGGGACTGGTATACTGAGGTCAGGGACTGATGCACTCGGCGACTTCTGTTCAGAGATCATTCGGGATAACAGCATGAATTATGATCTGGACTTGTGAACTCAAAGGGCAAGGTGTCAACCAGACTCTGTAGTAGGCAATATTAGGAATGTGGATACGCCTTTGCTGACAAACAATGCCTTTTAGAGCACTTTTGCATAACGCATTACTGATCGATGGACATGCATAATGCATATCACGCCAGGACCACCCAAAAGCTACATGTACGATATTCATGTGGCGATGCTAATGATTGATGTTTTCTGTGAAGTGTCCGCTAATACACCCTCGCCCGCACATGGGGGGGGGGTGGTTGCCACCCCCCCCCCAGGCAGTCTTTCTGCTCTGCACTCAACATTTTTAGAGCTAGAAGGCTGATTTTTCGTATAGCTGCTCGTCTATCCTTTCTTGATGTCCACTGAAAATTTCAAGTTTCTGTGATTTTTGGTTTCGGAGATATGACCTTGTTTTTCAGGTCATGTCATGACCCAAATGGCCTATTCTCAACATCTTGCGTTTGCCATGGGCCTTGTGAGCTTTTGACACCCTGATTTCGGCCTTTTTTGCCAGTCTTACCTCCCACCTATCATGGAACATGTTGTTCGACGATGTACAGGGGTCAAGGTCAGGGTCAAGGTCAACCTAGGTCATCTAAGATAATTGCGTTTTAGGCAAGCTGAATTTACTTTTTGTGAAGTTTTTTGACCGCATTTTTGGTAAAAGCTTCTCAGATCATGATTTCATGTGATATGGACCCAAAAACAATCGGTACACACATTAGTATACACACAGACACACACAGACATACAAACACATATAATTGACCTTGACCTAACTTGACCTGAAATGACCTCAGCAGCAAAATTCTGGTCGGATAGTGTGACAAAGAGATTCTAGCTGGCTTGGCACCAGAAAACAGCATCGTCATCGGTATTTGATAAGCAGCGCACTTGATATCCAACGGTGACCAAAAACAGCAACATTTTTTAGTTTGACCTGACCTGGAAGGTCAATGACTGACCTGAGAAGGTAAAACTGGGTATCATTGGATTCGTCTCTTCCCAAAGAATCTTTTTGGTCTTTACTGCTAAGCTCTATCTCCAACAGGAACGAAATGGCGCGGGGGGGGGGGTGGCAACCACCCCCCCCCCATGTGCGTTCTAGGATGGGAAAATGGCATGTGCGGGCGAGGGTTAATCTCGTTGGTTTCAGGTTTGACGTATTTGTTGTAGCACTCACTGACACCATGTTTGTACTGCAGGAACAAGATCGGTGACATCCGCGCCCAGGCGGCCCCGGGACGACCTCTGGACAGCAGTGCCTTCTCCTGTTCGGACGAGGACTCTCTGATCGAGGTGGAGCTGCTCCAGGGGACGCCGCCGACCCCGCCGCCCCGACCGCCCGGCTGCGCCCCTCCCCCGACCCCTCACCACCCCTACTCTACCGACCGAGTCCCAACTTACCCAGCGCCGGCCACAGTGTCTTCAGAGCGGACCTCGACTCCGGCCAAAGCCAGCCTGGACAGGAGCTTCGACAGCGGCGTCAGCGGCGGACCGATCAACTCCAGCTTCCAGGCTCTGTCGGTAGATGGCAGCAGACTCTCCCGGCGTGATCTGGGTTCCCGGCGCCGCTCCCAGCGATCCTCTGCTCACCTTGAGCGACGCGGAAAGAGCGCCGATCCTATCGAGCGCTCCACCCTCCCAGACTCTTTCCCTGCGGACGGTGAAGGGGCTCTTTGGCCACCCTTCGAACTGAGTCGCAGTCTGGACTGGTCCGAGGGGACCTCTCCGCGCCGACGTCCCGCTCCATCGGGGAACGAGAGCGTAGCGCTGGCTCGAGCCGAGCTGCGGCGTCGGCTGCGACAGCTGGCTCTAGTATCCGAGTCCGGCTCAGCAGCGGTGCTCGATGTCATTGAACCCTCAGGCAGCGAAGCAGGCAGTGCAGAGGATCTGGTGAGGAGAGAGGTGGAGGCCCAGCGCAGGGCGAGAGCGCGCTCGGCGCCTCCCCCACGGAAGGGAGACTCGGCCGGGGAGGCGGGGGAGTCAGCTGATCTCTCTGGGGAGGGAGATCTGCACTGGCTGGATGATGATTGTATAACGGTCAATGGCGATGCTGTTCATTGTGACAGTAATGGAAATGATGACGGCTCGCAGCGGCAGACAATGGAAACAGAACCAGCGCCACAGCCAGCCCAGTGGAGGGCGTCGCTCAGGACCGCGTCACCGGGCCGCTGTAGGGACACAGATGGCTCTGAGCGCCGGGGTAGGACCGGGAGAGGCGACAGAACCAGACGCTCCGGTCGCGTGCGGCGCGAGACTGGCACCGAGAGCTCCTCCGGTCGGGAGAGATCGACAGGGACCGGTGGAGACTCCCAGACCGTCCCTGAGCATCCGACCCCTCCCAGTTCCGTACCGATCCTCTCTGCACCGGATATACTCCAGGGCACGCGACACTGGCGCGATCCGGGCGAGGACAGTGACGAGGCGTCTCCAGAGAAACCAGACCTACCGCTGTTCCAGTTGGGGAACACCACCCCCTCCGCCGCAGCTGCCGCTGGCGACGCAGCCACCGCAGGAAAGAAGCGAAGCTTCCTTCAGAAATTCAGCATCCGGGCTCGCTGGACACCGAAGAAGCGGGATCGACCAGCTCGGCCAGGTCAGGAAATCACTGCAGTGGACTTCAGGGAGACATACTCGAGTGAGACCAGGGATGACACGCTCTCAGTACAAGAGAGCGTCCAGGAGGAGACGGTTGACGACCCTCCTCCGCTACTCCTTCCCCGCTCTGCCGCTCCCTCTGAGAACGGCCGAGTCAGCCGAGAGTCGAGACATAGTCAGGGTGAGGTCCGACCCGCGGCCGAGCCCTGCGACGCTGCCGGAGAGAGCCGGTTCCTGGACGGGGATAGTACGGCAGATCTGTTTACCGCTGTGTGTGTGAGTACCTATGCCGATAGTGCATCCGAGTCGTCCCGCTCAGCGGTATCCCGCCGCTCCCGGCAGAGCTCGTCTCCCGGCCGGCCGCTGCTGAGTGGTGGTCAGCCTCCGTACCGCCCACCCGGCCGTCAGAGTACGACAGGTCCTGAGACGGTTACTGGCAGTGAAACAGCAGGAGTCAGCGATCAGGCCGCAGGGCTGCGAGGAGCCGCCAGTCGACCTGCCTCCAGCGCTTCTGTTGTGTTGGCGGGCCGCCACAGCCCGGCTGCGAGCGAGACCAGCCATACAGAGTCGACCCAGGCGCCCGCCTCGGACGTATCAGTCACAGAGTCTGCCAGACACCTGCCTCCGCCAGCTGGCGCAGGTGGCGCCACCATGCGGCCGCTAGGTGGCGGTGGCGATCAGTCACCAGGTGACGCGGCGGGCGGGAAAGTGGGAGCAGTAGGACAGCCGATGGGCACTGGACAGAAGTCGCAGAGACCCGAGGGAGCTCCAGCACCAGCGCCTCTCGGCCACACAAAATTGGTGAGTCCTGATGCCTGTTTTGCATACCAGTTGATGACAAACCATAAAATGCAACGGTACCTTTTTACTCAAGCCTCGACTCTCATTTCTACGAGTAAGGGGCGATATTGCGCTTGTGTAGTGAATTTTTCAGTCTGCTCATGCTCTTGCTGACTGTTTAGGCTTTGTGAAATACTGATAAGTGTTTTTTTTTTGTCAGATGCCTGAGAACGGAGTTCGCCCAAGACGGTCCGACCGACCCTGGTACGAAATCAGTGACGATGACTGAGTTCCGATTCGGCTCTGTTGGACATCAACGCTGCCGTTAGACAGATGACTACCGAGATGCTACCGACTGCCAAGATGGCTGAGTTTCCATGCGAGTAAAAATGTGTCCCCGCAATGTTTCACTCTCGAAAGGTGTTGTTATAAATGTGATTTTCCGCAGACGCATAACCTGACCGGTCGCTTACAGAAGGATTCGTAGCGTGCTTGATGCTGGTGACTCGTAATTGTGATGAGATTATGGGTGTCGGTGTGTACAATTTTGTCGAGGTGCTAGAAGTCGTGGCATGATTATGCGAAAATGTGAAGGGATGGCAGCGACTGCTAGGGAGACAGGCTTAGGAGGGAAAATAGAGGGAATGCGGGTAGAACCGTTTTTTCTCTTTTTTTTGCATTTCGTTCTCGGTTCGTTTATACTAGCCCGCTATCACTCTGCCACATAGCTCGTGTGGGTGCATGAATGGTGATGTGATCGTGCAATGTTTATGCCTCCCAAAAGTTCGTTAAATGTGAAACTTTACGAGGAACAGTTGTGCTGTGTCACGCTTGGCCACAAAGATACAAAGCCAGTAAATAAACGCAGGATTATCTGTTTGGGCGTTTCCGATACTTACTTCACGAAGATAGTATGAACGGTATGAACCATGAACAGATCACGATTTTTCAAAGGTTAAACCACCACTTCCCACGTATATCCATATCAATACAAACACCGTCGTTGTTTACAAAATACCAGTTTATTCTTGAAACACTGTTACGCTGCATATACAGGACGGCGCGGCCGGGGGGCGCTGCTCCCTTGGTGAGCGAGAGAAGGCAGAGGGGCGGCCGACGGGTCGGCGCGTTGCGCTCGGACGGGCAGAACAGCCAACTACTGCGCCGACAGCGCCACCTGCGGCGCGCCGGCAGCGCCACCTGCGGCCGGGCGGCGCCAAACACCCACCAGCAACCAGCGCGACGGACCAAACTCTTTGTACTTTTAACAATAACAATAATAAATGTGCTGGTATTTTCACGCGAACGCCAAAGCGGCGGCGGCGTCAATTCTAACGGGCCTACGCTATTATGCAAAGCGCGGAAGCAATTGATATCAACACGGCTAAAACCATTCAGAATTTAAAAGGCTCGCCACCGGTCGTCGGATTCTGTACACAAGACGCCGGGCGGCGGCGGCAGAACGAAGGCAACAGGGCCGAGTCGGGCAGTTCGCATACGATCCCAACACCATCTTGCTATTGCTGTATGTACAGTAATAAATAGGCCGCCGGGCCGGCGCCGGGGCGGCTCACTGGTCTGTATGTCTGTCTGTCTGCCGGCCCGGCCTCGGCAGGCCCGCTCAGATCACACTGCTCCGTGCCGCGTGCGCACGTGCACCGGTCACACGTCGCGCGCACGTGTCCTCTCAGGTCAGGCGGCGGGTGTGTCCACTGTCCGCTGTTCAGTTTGTGCCGCCATCATGCTCGCTCAGAGTTCAATCACACATATTCTGCCGGTCAGCCTCGCAGTCACAGTAGTATGACGCTCACTTGTGTAACATTGCACTACGGTGTGGTGTAAGATTACACCCGGTGTAGTTAACGCTACACACCGCCTTCCGAAGATGACCTCACGCACACAGCACTCGCGATCTCCGGTAATGACGTCACACATCATCTCCGGCGATGACGTCACACACCACCTCCGACGATGACGTCACACGCTGTGACCGATGATGACGTCACACGTCACCTCCGGCCGCCGTAACCGACTGTGGTCACTTCCATCAGGTCGTGAGTTTCCACGGCCGTTGGACGATCAGACGAATCAGGACCGACGTGTACGGGCGGTCGGCGGCTGTGCAGAGGCTGGTGTGTCGGCTGGCAGAATGGTGGACGCCGGTGGGCAGCTCCTAAATCATCGCGCAATCGCACCTGCAAAACAGACACGATTAGATATTTGTCGATAAACATTACGGCGTGGCAGATAATGCTTACAACTTGTACTGAAATTTGATTGATAAATATTGATGAAATATATCATTCTACGGGGCACAGGGACGTAAATTTTTATCTTCGCAACCGGGCAAAGACATAGTGCGACGAATGCTTAGGCACGAAATTGCACTTCCAAGTAAGGCATATGTAAACTATGAAAACCGAAATAAGCTATCTAAAAGAGACATGATGTCAAGGTAAGTGAGAGTGACCTACGACGACAAAGGACTGTATAAATGAAAACAAACACGCAGAGTGGGTAAAGACTTCGGGTTGGTACTACAACCATGACTAATGAGCCTTTACAATAGCACACCGAAATCAATAAAAAAAATATACGCATTAATACTGACCACAACCAAACACAACACGAATATCTTTTCAGGTACGATAATGGATGCAGGTCAGGTTTCGTTGACAATGGTTTGTTGCACAATAATTTCAAGGAATATAACCACTATTAAAAACAACGGAATAGATGGATCGGCAGGCAAACGATACCTATCATACATCTATGATACGAATAGTTGTGTAGCAGGGCATGAAACACGGCCACAGTATATGTATGGAGCGAGTCAGTAAAGTGTATAAAGACTAACTAGATAGCAATATGTTATAAACTAGACTGAGAGAACTAGAGAGTGAGCACAGTGGCGCCGAGCGGCAGAGTAGAGGGGAACACAGAGTAGAGCACTGTGCTCAGAGCACGATACTCACGTGCTCCCGACCACCTGAAATGCCAGCTCGGTCACCATGGCAACACACACGCGCCGTTTGTCTGTGTATCTGTCCAATGAGTCGGAATATACGATGGACCAGAGGTCCTACGTTTTACATGTCAGTCAGACGGTCAGTCCACTGGGGTCTGGTCTGCTGGTCTGTGTCTGGTCTGGATCAGACAGTGACGTACCCGACAGCGGAGTTGGCAAACGCGAACCGATGGCAACAGTACCGAGACAATATTTTACGACGGCTACAGTTGTTTAACGACGCATGCTAGCCCAAGAAAAAGGCTGGCATGCCTATGAAAAACCACTGTAACAATATATTCAAGACACTGCGCATCGGACATTTCAAGTCTTACGCTAGACAGAAATGACGCTCACTTCCCGCATAAGATAATCTACAGAGCACCTAGAAGCGATTTTAAATTGAAATAACGTCTTATATACCGAAATCGGTTTTATTTTTTGTCGTAAGCGCACCGCTCACTCAACAATCAGCACTGAGCGGCCACTATACAAAATACGGCTTCATCACTACCGGACAAATGCGAGCATCACCGCACTGTACATCGAGTGAGAACACAACCACTACTTCTGCGCCAGCCGGCTTCTCATCAGTTCCAGACGGCGGAGCGACATATGCTACCGCAATATATCCGTACAGAGCGAATACGACTGCCCATCGCCCCTTCAACAGTTCGTAGACACCAGCCGCCCGGCCAACAACATACAACGTGTCTCGGTAAATAGATACGGAACTTGCGAGAGTGCGACGGACGGCGAGAGAACGAGCGGACGCCCCACTCTGGAGCGGCTGGGTGCCCGGCCGGCAGCCGCTAATGAGATTGCATGATTCTCCCGACGGTGATTCGCTAGACACGGACGCTACGGCGCCGCCGCGCGCTGGTAAGGCACAAAACCGACATCGCCAGCCAGCTGAGAAGAAATTTAGTAGCGACGAATCAGTAGAGACGAAGGGAGGAGGCTCGGAAAGCAAGGAACATGGAGAGAAATAGAAATGATGCAAATTCCACAGGAACGACATACAATAGGGCTTCGACGGACAATAAAATAAGATACTTTGGACAGGTGCAGAGCCAAGAGGAAAAACAGCCGACTGGCAAAACGCGTCACTGATGGAGACCTATCCCTGACAATAGACCAATCACCGAGGACAAAGACACGGACACAGATACACACATCATATCTCCTTATCACTCAAACGCCCGCCACTAGCGTTACAAGTGTCCACGGCGAGAGAATCGCCATCCACCGATTTGTACTAGCCTGAAGCGCGAGACCTAAACCTAAACAGCTGACCGACGGCCCACCGCGCCGGCCAGCCGCCCAATGGGGGCTCGTGCTGACGTCACACTGTGATTGTGACGTCACAACCACGCACCGCGCCGTCAGGTAACGTGATGATTCGTCATTAAACGTGATGGGGTGATGTACTGTGCTTTGACATTGATCTAGAAGCGGAGTGGTGAAATATACTGAGGGCCCGCCTCGAAATGTGTAGGATGCTAAGTCGAGGAAATTTGTATAAGACAGACTATATAAGGTGAAATGGAGAGCCTGTCAGCTGGTGAAATAAAGTGTATATGATTGGCTGTAAAAGGTCTGAACCGGCTGACCAAGAAAGAAGCAGACATAAATAGAATCTCTATTCTCTACATAACTATGTAGTATGTACTTTCATAGCCTTGTTCGAGCTCACTTTCCTTTTGAATCAGCACGCTGATGATTTTACCATATGTGGAGGTTCATTGCTGGCGTTTCTTAGCCTCTTATTGGTGAACCGCACAACAGGCCATGTAAATTCGACCAATGGGAAGCCGAAAAATGCCAGCAAGCTGGCTGCCTGCTGATAAAAGACGGCGACCGAAGGGCGCCGATGTTCGTGTGCAGCCTAATGATTTGTATCCCGCGCAAACACAGCGAGAAGGGCCCAGCCTTCTCTCCCCCTTATCATGCAGTTATCAAATATATCATATCATATGTGCAATGAAGCAGTACCGCCAGTCAAAACGAGTGTGACTCATGAACTCAGTGCATCCGGTTATTTACTAAGCAACTAAAATATGCTGTGTACTCAGGTCTCAGCCTCAACGCCATTATAATCCGCAAAAATGGTCTTTATGGTAAGCCATCGGATTCCCCTCTTTTTAGAATTTAGATCATTTCTGACGGGAATTGGGGCAACAATCGCATTTAGATCAAATTTAATGCTACACAGACAAGTCTGTGTATGCATAACAGCATAGCTATACTTCAAGGCTGTAAGCCAAAACACTTTTGCCAGGAAAAAGAACAGGTTCTGACTCCACAGGTCAGATTTGAAGCTCACTTCATATCCTCTCAGGCTTTTCGATCTCTGGATTAGCTTCCAAGAATGTTTTGTTTGGGCCAAGCTAATTGTCCACCCAAATGTCGCTACTTGAAAGTAATGGCAGGGACATTATTTACTAATGTGTAATACACTTACAGCGAGCAATGGCGCACGCTCCCTGCACAGTACCAAGTCCTGATGATCGTCGATGCATAAAGAACATACAACCCTTCCTCGACAGCTCGATATCCTGCAAAGCTGGCAGCTAATTCAACAAGTTCGTCCACTTTCTACATCCACCAGACCACCCAGCTCGATACCCAATTGGTACCGCGCGTAGCTATAACTGATATAAATCGATTGTACACAGTATACGCGCTAATAAGCAGTAACGCCCAGCAGTCAGCGGGGGCTCCCCCCGGTCGCGGCGTGCCCGTGCCGACGGTGGCGCCTCTGGCGGGCTGCGGGCGAAGCTCTGGTGGGCGCCCGCGCCGCGCCGCGTCGCACCTGACTCAGTACCTGGCGTTCAACTGGTGACGGTAAAGAGTTCTTTGTGCAGTGCCGGGAACTCCAGGTGCGGCGCCATCCGCTTGAAGTTGGTGATCACCTCCAAATGTGTGGCAGAAGCTTCCCTGAAATGCGTCATGGGACAGGGTAAGGCAACGTCCAAACAATCAGAAAAGGAACCATGTGAGACTCGCAGAAATGACCTAAAACAACTCATGATGCCTTCCAAGATAATTATTTCGTAAAACACGAGGCTGGATAGAAAACCATACTCTTCAAAGCTCAGCGACCATGAAAGCTGTGAACAGCAAATAGTCGTTATCTCCCCATCTGGTGCCACTCCGCTCGCTCTCCCTCTGTTCCTCTCCGCTGCTCTCATCTCCCCTGTTCCTCTCGATCTCTTTCCTCTCCGCGTTAGCTCACCTGAGGCTGTGCACCTTGGAGAGGAGCATCTGGAAGGCAGTGACGTCGCCCTTGACTGGCAGTGGGTGCGATCTCTCCAGCTGAATCCTAAGCGCCTTGAGGAGCTCCTCGTTGAGCCGCCGGACGCCGTCGGCGCACGAACACGTCAGGCCCGGCCGGTCTGCAGGAGGGTCAGCGAGGGTCAGATGAGGTGTGCAAACAATCAATATTCTCGTCAGCATTGATACTGTGGGAGCCTCTGGGTCTAAACTCTAAATTGTCTCCATCAGGCAATTTTTAAGTCTGATCTGAGATAATGGTAAATGATATTGGATAACTTGAGAATTGGAAATTAGACAGACACTAATTTCCGAATAATTTTATTTTAGACTCAAAATATTAGCAGCCTTCACATATGATTAGACCCAGACCCATTTCATTGGCATCTACCGAGACCCCACACGCAAATATTCATCCACACACAACTCTCCCCCTCTCCCCAGAGCGGCACCCACCGGGCGAGAGCAGGCAGAATGCCGAGAAGAGCGCCAGCTCGGGCTCGGTGAGTTTCAGCTCGCACAGGCTCCTGACGAGCTCGAACACCTCCTGCACCAGCTTCATCTCGGTGGTATCTCCGGTCAGGAAAAAGTCCATACGCATCACCGTGTCTCCGTAAAGCACTGTCGACTGACGTAGGTCGTAGTAGCGCGTCATCCGTAATATCGTCAGCTCGAACGCACCTGCAGCAGACGAGGGGAGCGGGCGGTCAGTGGAATCGAAGTGAGGAACGTCTCTCAAACTCAAAGCTCCAGCTAAAACATTTCTCGACGAAAATAATGAAAATGGATGATCAAGTCGGCCTGAGAGGAGCTCGAGGTGCATGAGACAAGACTGCACTATGCCTCCCTCTCTAGTGCACTTTTAGCATGGCTTGACGGATTGTGAGAAAATGATTTTATGCATCACTCACCCACTCACATGCTTGCTCATTCATTCATTCACACTCACTCACTCACCCACTCACATGCTTGCTCATTCATTCATTCATTCATTCATTCATTCATTCATTCATTCATTCATTCATTCATTCATTCATTCATTCATTCATTCATTCATTCATTCATTCACACTCACTCACTCACTCACATGCTTGCTCATTCATTCATTCATTCATTCATTCATTCACACTCACCCACTCACATGCTTGCTCATTCATTCATTCATTCACACTCACTCACTCACCCACTCACATGCTTGCTCATTCATTCATTCATTCATTCATTCACACTCACTCACTCACTCACTCACTCACTCACTTCCCCCGTCCCGCCCCAGCTTCCTCCCCCGTCCCGTGACTCACCGGCCTTCAGCAGTGTGATTTTGTCCGTCTCCGAATAGTCCATGAAGCCGGGCAGCAGCTTAGCGAAGTCGATGATGTTGTGGATGACGGCTGTGACCTTTTGTGCGGCGTCCATCACTAGGTCCTCATGACTCTGCGAATTGGTGTGATGTCATGTGTCATGGTCTGTGGTCAGAAATCAATCAGAAATAATCGTCGGGGTCTCGGCACTTAAATGCGGATGGGTACGGAGGCAGATTGTGAAGCTGTCGTGGATCGAAACGAAACTTCCTAAGGTCGAACGTCGATGTTCACACATAAATTTAAGAGCATCACACGCTTTCTAAATTGACGTGTGCAGAACATACAATAAGTTTCATAGAGTGATTTTAACTTTTCCTGCAGGGATGGATCAATTCATCTGAAATATCCATGGACTACGGAATTAATATACATATAGTAAATGCCGGCGTACACATAGTTTTCTCATAGCCAACAGCGGGGATCTTCTACGTCCTTTGGGGCGGCGCATGTGGGTAGCTCACCAATTTGCTAAAGCAGGCGATTTTACTGAGATCCTGCGGCCTCCGCAGCATGTCCTGAATGTACTCGTCACTATAGAGCAGCGTGCTTCGGTGGAAGTCGGTCACTGTTTCGGCGAGAAGATCAGAGATTCGCGAGGGATCTGAAAACACGATAATGACGTCATTAGATCGAACGAAGTGACATGGGTCAGGAGTCCGAGCCCGTGTTAGCGCTTCGAGTTAGCCATACACACGGACAAAACAGAATTATTCGCAAGACGCACTTAAGCTAAGCAACAAAATGGCTAATTGAATAAGCCATTAACGCAACAAGACGTGACCATTGGTGGTGAAGAAATATCTAAAGCCGAACACAATCTGAAAGCTTCACGAAAACACTACGATGATACACACAAAACACAGCAGCTCATGTCTAAAGGACAAAGGACAAAAAAGCAATATAGTCCTCAAACAACCGTCAAATGGGCACCTGACACACTGTAAAAAAAGCTTGCTCACATGCAGCAGCAGCAGCAACAACACGCTATGAAAACACAACAGGAAAGTACAGTGCAAGAAGTCTGATAGAAACGCATACAAAACTCCAATCAACTGCATGCAAAACCAAAACTAAAGATAGGACGGATAAAAAATGGCCATGAACACAAAGAACATAAGAAGAAATTAAGCACACAAGTAAGTCGTTTTAAGATGTCGGCCTGGGTAGAGCCAGCATTGGCGAGACACTGCTTCTCCGAGCAGTGTTCACAATTGGTAGCAGTCTGTCGGTTGTCGATGATGCCTGTATGCGGCAGATCGGTCTGTCGGAAAGTCATTTAGGACAGAGCGGAGCAGACTACGAGTATATGAGGATGAGGGAAGGAGGGAATTGGGCTGGTCATGGTGAGCAAAGATGGGTGGTAAAATATACTAGTGACTAGTGAGTTTGATGGTCGATGGTTGTAAGTCGACCGTCGGCGGTGAATAGGTGGACAACGGTAAATGGAGAACGATCTCATTGAGGACAGTGGTCAGTGGTTGTGGTCAGTGGATACATGTAGAGCGGTCATTGGTCGTCGGTCAGTGGTTAACTCCGTCGTTCGTCGTTGGTCGGACACATACCGGCCGGCCGGTCGGCGGGACAGGGTCTGGCGGTCAGTGGACGGAGTCCAGTGGACAACGGTCGGTGGACAGATTCCGTCGTTCGTCGTTGGTCGGACACATACCGGGCGGCCGGTCGGAGGGCGGCAGCCGCGGCGCCGCTGAGCTCGGCCGAGAGGACGCTGACCGGTCTCCGGGACCGGATCCCACCGGCCCGGCAGCGGCGGCGGCGGCGGCGGCCGACGGGTCGGCGGGCGGCCCCACGCCGCCGCCGCCGCCGCCGCCCCCGCCCTCCATCTCCTCTTTGATTAGAGTGTCCGGAGGCCGGCTGACGCGCGGGATCTGCGCCGCCTCGGCGCGCCGCCGCTCCTGCTGCGGGTGCTGCTGCGCCGGACCGCCCAGCGGCTGGTGGTGGTGCTGGTGCTGCTGCGGCGGCGGCTGGTGCTGGTGGTGGTGCTGCAGCGACGTCTGCTGCTGCTGCTGCTGCTGCTGAGGCTGCTGCGGCGGCTGCTGGGGCGAACTCCGATCTGCAGGGTGGCCGTCATCGGTCACGGCGCATGCGCACAACTCTCCGTCACAAGACAGGAGTGAGAGATAGGTAGATGAAGAACGTATCATGACCGAATAGGTCGCTCTGATATTTACCGCCACCACCACAGAAAAGACATGCGTGAACAGGTCCTGAAGAACCAACCCTTATGAACTACACTTCCTTAAAAGACATTCATGACAGATTCACAAGAGGTAACTACTGTAATGGGGAGGAGCAGTTTAACCTAACAGTTCAATCCCTTGAAAATAAAAATCACAGGCTCGTTGCGATGCATTATTCGGTACAAGAATGGTGTTTTCGTCAGCGCCACCTATAGATTGATCGCCAGCGCCGCCTGGCGGACTGACCTGAGTTTCCGAAGGTAGCCATGAGCACGCTGTCTGGCAGCTGCTGTGTGCTCGACATCACCTCCATCGGCGGCTGCCACGAGGGCGTCGTCGAGTCGACGCCGTCGTCCATCGAGAACGGGAACGGCGTCGAGTAGGAGCTGCAGCCGCCGGTCGGGTACTGGCCGCCCAGCTCACTCGGGTTGGGGTACCTGCGGGGAAAGAAAAAACGATCGGTCAGAGGCCGGCGAGATTCGTCTCAACACACACTTTATGAAATGTCAATGAACAGCTGATGGTCACTCAGTTCACACATGACTGCTGTGTTACACTGTGTAACAACAAAAAAAACTTCTTGTTCTTGTCTAGCCAGTCCCCGGTATGTTTTGAAGCAGCTTCAGAATCGAGAGTATCGCGGAGCAATTAGCACGCTTGGAAAGCTCCCCCACAAACACGCAGGCAACAAGGAATCGACCCCACCGAGACCGTGACGAAAACAACTTCCGTGTTTTTCACCGGCTCCCAGTCCTCCGCGCCCCTACCCTCACCCTAGTGTACACTTACAAAGCGAGCAGCTCCTCGCATGATTGTCGATTGCCGATAAACAGCGTGAGGCATAACACAAAGAAAAATGGAAAAAACTGCCTCAACGCATGCAAACTGAGATGGTTACGAATATATGTTTGAAATCAAATCCCAGCAGCATTTCGCCCATGGCACCACGCTCTTACAGCTAACAGAGCTCTTCACCAGTTACTCCATACCCACTACCCAGCATTTGACGTTAAGACTCTGTCTAACACTTGTCTCGCTATACTGACCACCCCTACCTCCCCTCCCCTGGGTCCCTGTACTAACTAACGGCTGGTAGTTGCTGTAGGCGCCCAGCGGGTCCTGGGACACCTCCCCCTCCCCTGGGATCGTATACTAACGGCTGGTAGTTGCTGTAGGCGCCCAGCGGATCCTGGGACGAGGTGGGCATCTGTGCAGTGTCCGGATAGGCCGATGAGTCCGGCACGGTCCGCTCACTCAGGTCCATCTTGCCGCGGTAGAAGCGGACCTCGTCCTCCACCTTTTCCCGCTGCTTCTTGGACATGCGGCCGAACTTGACCGCTGTAGGGGGAGCAGAGAGAGACACGGGTCAGGTCACTGAGTCGGTACAGGGCTACATCATACAGACGGTAAACACTGACAGTCAAGTGTGAGTTCAAATGTGGGATGATATTTGTTAAAATACGGCTGAGGAGAAAATTGACATCGGAGGTGGGCATCTGTGTCGTGCTGTGGGATAAAGTCGCGATCTCGAATGAAATAACAGACGGTTTCGAACGACGGATCGTCGGATATTCAAGTTATAAGGACTAAATCTTCGAGGAAAACAAAACATCGAGACACACAAGACCAGACAAGTACAAAAAATACACCGCAGGTACAGATCAATAAGGTTTTCACGTTTACTACAATTGTCACCCTGAGTACGTTCATGTCAAATACCACAGTGAATCAGCACAAACGTTTCCCCAAAACGATCACAGTAGTACTACGTAGCACCCGCATCCCAAAATTCAGGTCAGATATCGACCACAGTTCTGATGCCCGCACCTATGCGCAATGTTTATGGCTCGAAACAGCTAAAAACAATAATGGTGCCAGAAACAGAATCAGGGGCACTGCTCGCGCCTAAAAACCATTTAGCATGAGCGAGCCTCACCAAATTTTCTACAACGCCTCGACTCGCAATGTCCAGCAAATGCAGGCTAAAAAAAGAAACGCAGGCATCTTCAAACCATTGCATTTCCCATCATTTTGACAGCACCGTTGTCGGTTGACACCCCGCCTCCATTTACTCCGGAGTCCCCTGAGTCGCCGAGGGCCGCCGTACCGTCCATGTGCGACCATCTGGTCACTTTACGACCTCCAGCCCGCCGCTGCCTGGCCGGCGTTCCTGATCCACGCTCAATAGCGGCCGGCCGGCCAGTGCCGTAATACGCCCCGGGCGGCGGAGGCGGCCGGCCGCCGCGTAACGGGCCGCCGTACAGTGGGCCGTTCCGCGCGGCCGCCCGCGGCCGTGACGTCACAGCCACCAGTGACCCAGTGCCGCAGCTTCGAGTCACGGCCGACAGGTGGCAGCGCGGTCGGCGGGTACGGCCGAATGGGGATGGGTGGGAAGCGCCGTGGAGGGTGAACATGACACAGGTATTTTACAAGGAATGCGTTTTGTTGTTGCACGATGAAAATATTAAGAAATATGGTTGCGAAAATTAACGTTTTTTTTTTCTTCTCAAACTGGATCGGATCAGCGCCATAGGCGGCGGAACGGGGAGGGCACCGGGGCACCGTGCCCCCCTTTGATTTTGGCATTTTAACACTAGCCCTATGGGCGTTGCATGGAAAGAATGGGACCAAAAGTCGGCAATGCCCCCCCCCCCCCCTTAATTGAAGGTGTTCCGCCGCTACTGATCAGCGCCTGCCTGAATCGAATTACCAAAGACATGAAATTACACTTGTTCAGGGTGTCCATCAATTGCCTAGCAATATGCCCAGCACGACAAGAAACGGCTTTACGTCCTCTCTCCAGTCGTCCACCACTGATATCCCACCAAACGCTCATTGTATATAAAAGGAAAACTATTCATGGAATTCACACCATTCCCAATATGGTCATAGCATGATACAATGCGTGGAGGAGATCAACGAACGAATCTCTTTTTTTTTCTGACGAGCCTTCTATCCCCACCGGCGTCGGCGTCGGAGCAACGCCCTCGCCTCCCGCTGTTCGGTCCCCTCCCGCCCTCCCCGCCGTCCCATCCTCTGTCGGGCCGACAGCCTCCCAATTTGTTCGGCGCCCTGCGACCGGCCATAACTCCGCTAGCCGACGGCGAACAATGCCGGCGTGGTCACGGGTCCGGGGTGGGGACACCGGGGTCCTCCCAGCCTCCCCGCCCGCTCCAGTTGGTCCCAGGGATGGTCCCAGGACCAGCGGACGGCCGCCCCTGGTCCTCCGGGCGGACCGGCGGGCCGTTTCCAGCCCACGTTGCTTTGTTTCGCGGGACAAAGGCCAGTGGCCAGCGGGCCAATCAATGGCAGTGGTGACGGGACCCGGCGTGGCGAGTCGCCGTCACAGGCAGACCACAGCGCCAGCGGTGACGCTAACCGCGCCGGCCTGTGGACCACGCGGGGCTCCCCCCGCCCCCTCCCCCCCCGTCAGCCATAAAGGGCGCCGCCTCGTGATTGCCACCCGCCCAGGTCAATGACCTCCGAGCGGCCGGCGGCGGCGGTGGCGGCGGCGGTGGCAAGGCCGCCAAAAATATCGCCGGTGGGCGGCGGCGGCCTACGACGGCCGAGTGACAATGCCCGCCGCGGCGAGCCAGCCCAGGCGGACGTACCGCTGCTTTCCGAGAACGACGACCGTGCAGGACCGTCGGCTACGTCGGGGGCGACGGGACCCCCCCCCCCACCAGAGGCGAGGGGGTCTGTGTTAGTCGACGGCGAGGCGTCAGCGTCAGCACTGCAAACCGCGTGCGGTACAACCGGGAAACTGTACACAAGCCGACAGGAAAGAGATGCCGCAGCGCAACCAGCGTGAAAACTGGCTAACGCGACCAGGTGGCAGGCTGTCGGTGTAACCGATACCAGCTTTGATCCCATTCTCTGGTCGCCACAAGCTGCAGCCGCAACGCCGCAAACAACAACAAAGTCCATCAGCGATCACCGGATACCGTATGGTCCTGCACGCCGCTCGACCCCGCAATCTTTCCGGACAGCTTGGCAACGCGAAACTGGCTATCGACAGCGCACAAGGAACGGTCCTGGACGGTCGTCGGTGGCGACAGGTGCGCGAGGAACGGTCCTGGCCAACAGTCACGCACACGCCCGTATTGCTCGCGCATATAACGGGGCGGCTCATGGTACTGGTTCGTCACGGCAGCGACCCGCCCCGGGCCGTGGGGCGGGAGGTAATGGCGAGCCGCACAATGGTCGGCGTGGCCAACGGGAAGAGGCTTTTCAGCTGCGTTGCAACACAGCTGATACTGCTAAGCGATGACAACGTATTGCATGGAACGTCTTTGTTTAGACAAAAAGGCATGAGATCTTTTAAAAACTTTAAATCCTTTACAAAACGATAAGGCAGCGCATATCGTCAAACAGAGGAGCAACAATTAATCCGTTGGTTGAATGTCATACCCATATACGTATTACATAAAGACAAGTTCAAGAGTAGGTCAGATAGTTGCGCTCCGCCTAGTGCGTCTGGCACTTTAGTCGTCATCCCATGACGGATTTTACACCCTACAGACGACAGGCAGGCGGCGTGGACGGTATCCAGACATGGACTCTGCCCACTGTCTATAATTATGCCCGAATCCATTAGCCGAATCAGGCTCCGTAGCGTCCTACGGGGCCCGACGGACAAGATGAGATAATAAATAAACAGCAGCGCACCACGCTACTGCGCTTCAGCTTGGGAGAGGAGCGAGCAGGGTTTGAATGGCACCATGACTTTGAATGATAAGCATGAAAATGGTTGGACATGACACAACTGAATTCAATCCGATTCGGTTCATTTACCGGTCACTCCTTACCTATCTCAGAAAATACGCCACGTGTGATTGCAAGCCCAAAACTAATCTCAGCAAACAACGCAAAATTCACATCGGTGTGCACACTTTGCAACACATTCAATGCAATCACTCCAAAGTTCCAATAGAAATCCAACATATGTTCACCCCGTTTGACTCGATGCCCCAACGTGTGGCCTGGTTCGGTGAACAGGGAGCTGACCCTCGCAACTAGGGCAGCGTATGTCCAGATCAAAGGAGGGCTCCGATCCGTCCCGTCTGCGGAGAGAGACAGGTGCGGCGGGCGACTTCCTGCAGCCGCCGACAGCGACGGGCGGGGGCGGGGGCGGCGCGGCGGGGGCGGGGGCGGCGCGGCGGGGGCGGGGGCGGCGGCCACTGATCGGGAGCCGATCGATGACCGCCCCCGCCCCCACCCCCGCCGGCGGCACGTGCGGTGGTCCGACCGGTCACCGCCGCCGGCGTCGGTCGGTGAACCGACAGCCGACAGAGTGCAGTGTGGAGACTGACCAGACGAACACAGCGGGACAGACATATCCGGCGGAGCGGACAAGTCCAGAGGGACAGACAGGCCCTGAGGGACACGGACAGACGCGAACGGGTAGCGACTGGTGGTGAACAGAAGAGCCAGTGGGAGTTCAATGGAGCGTCCAGTGGACAGTGGCGAGGTGGGTGGATGGGCAGAACGTATGGCTGGAATATGATGAAAAATAGGGCACATGCTACACGTCACGGGCACTACATACGCCCCATAGGTCTGCACAGCATGGAGAAAGAAACGACAGACGGGTGACCCGAGTTATCAGATCTGAATAGAGCGTAGAGGAACTAGCAGGGCCAGCGAGGACGCCACATAGTACACAATTCAGATATAATGAGACAGAACAGCTTTGACTGTAATCAAGATTCAATGCAAAATAAATGTCCATATCGCTTTATAACTGCTGCACGTATGTCGTCAAATGGCCGCTACATTTCATTCTCAATGAATCAGGGCCTAATATTAAATCTGAAATCAAATACTGATTGATGTGTAATTATCTATGCAGGTAATCCTGATTTCACTTTCAGTCGCTTCGAGATATTCTTCAACCCACGTACCTATGTCTTGCTTCGTGTGGAGTCATTTTCTTTTGCACCGATCCTCATTCATATCAAACAATCGCAGCTGTTCCAGTGAAAGTTGAATTATGTCACACTCCATAACAAAAACTCATATCGTTACGTTTTTAGACGTAAATTCGCCGGCTGCTAACACCAGAAGCACATTCCAGTTAGTATGATTCGTTCATGTGACGGAAAATAAACGTTCTAACGGTAAGCCCAGCTAAAACTTTCTCCTCAACATGTGCAACTCTAGAAACTGATCGAGGAACGCGGAAAATAGTGCACAGAGTACGGTGACGTATTCAGTTTACCTGCCCACCAGCTGAGTGGGCAGTGTGCAGACATCGTAATAGTAAATTTTGGAGCGAGACTGCCCTCATTCGGAGCAAGACCCAATACTCATTCACGAGCGGGGTCTGCTCTTCGGTC